GTATATTTATCCTTATAAATTTTAATATAATTGATATGATCATTATTTTTTATCAAGACCCCACCTACCATATCAATAAAACAGTAAAAGAAAATATTTACTCGTTCGGTCATTTAATATTTCATAACTTTACAAGAATAACAACAACAACAACAACAATAATAAATAAATCATTCTTTATAGTCATTTTCATTATGGACCTATTAAGCTCTCGAGCTTATCACGGGTTAATATATATTGTCATCTCAAACATCGTCGATACCATTGAATTGGGACACAATCTAGGTATGATATCCCTCTTCTATGAGAATGTATTCAAGTGATTTAATATTGTTAGGAATCATTACTTCGGTAAATCTTACAATATTAAACATTTAGATTCTGCAATTGATCAACCTTTTTTTTCTTTGTCACAAAGATGCCTAATTATGTAGTAAATGTATACTTGAGCTACTTGATACACTCATTTAGATAGATTTGTTCAACATTTCAAACACCAATCTTAATCAATATAACATTCAATATGTCTAATTTATAGAAAAGTCATGTGACCAAGGATGTGGCATAATAAATCATGCTCAAACATAAGCCTTTGGTGCATTACTTCTTGATTCGTAAGTTTCTGTATTATGAAGACTTTTAAAAACATGTAAATGCATATCGGAAGACAAGATTGAGAATTAACAAAAAAAAATGTAAACTTAAAGTAGTGAATATAATATTTATATAGTTTGACACTCCTTATTTACCTTTAGAAAGAAAATTTTAAATTCTTTATCGTATGTGATAATACATATAATGAATTTTTTTTTTCTTAAGCTAACTCAAAGTTTAAGTCAAAAGCCTGTTGAACACCACCTAATATAAATCTTGAGTTAAAGTGTTTTTCTTATGTCCACTTTTACATAAAGGGCATTTTTTTTAAAAAAATATTAGAATATTTTTCAATTGGTACCCCTCATTTTTTTTAAATAGTATTATTAATTTAAAAAAATCAAAAATGCCCCTAAAATGTTTTCCACCAAAATTTTTTGCTCTTTTTTCTAGTTTTAAATTATTATTTTATTTTTATTTGACTCATTTATAATATTTTTTCAATAGTATTTACAGTGCTTCTATTACGATACTGAAAACACTATAATTATTATTAAAAAAGCATTGTAAGTGATATCATATTGGTTTTGTTTGGTTGTCATTATTCATAGATTATTGCAATATCATATGTTTAAACTGGTAATTGGTTTAGTTGAGGTTAAGAGTCCATTTAGATAATTTATGATATAGGTTTTATAGTGTCTTTATTGTGATGGACGAAATACTGTAATAAGCTATTTTTTTAATTTCTATTTAAGTTATATGTTCTCAGGATGATTGTATGGGAAAATATCTTTTTTTGAATTTTTTTTCGGATGGTACCCCTCTTCTTGTAATTCCCAAACAGTCAGCCCTATTTCAAAAATCTCAAAAAATAACCCCCAAAATCTATCACGTTTTTTCTTTTGTCTAAATCCAAAAACAAATTTTACCAACTGTTCAAGGTGTTTTCATTTTGAAAACACTGTATAGTATTTTTATTTCAAAAAAACTATGACATCAATATTTAGTTCAAAAACACTATACAGTGGTTTTGAACTAGTCTTACAATGTTTTTGTTTTAAAAACATTAGAACACTATAACACTAGTGTTATAGTATTTTTGTTTTAAAAATACTATAAAAACACTATAACACTAGTTCAAAAGTATTGTCTAGTATTTTTGTTTTAAAAATAATGTATAGTATTTTTAAAACAAAAATAATATATAGTGTTTTTAAACATTATATAATGTTTTGAGGTTAAAAACTAACTGACAAAATATTGTAAATAGTTGGGGAGAATTTTTTAAAATTTTGGAAGAAAAAAAAGTAACTTTTTGAATAGACATTTTTGGAATATTATATTGGAAAATCATAGAGAGCATCACATTCATAGTAAATAATAAAAATAAAAATTATTTTTTTAAAATAATATTATCTAATTATCGTGTGAAGATAATAAGCGAAAAACTCAAAACGATAAAACCGTGTAATTACATAAAGTGGTTAATATATTATTATTATATAGGAAAGATCATATATCATCAAATCTACATATGGAGATGAATGAGGTGGCAATAGTAGAGGTTTAGCCCATTACTCTTTAAGCCTAACTCATACCTATAGAGAGCCCTCTTAACTTACCCTAATGGATCCTTCCTTTTGGGTATTAGATCTCCATTCAATAATCCATAATTTAATAGATATTGGATCGGGTCTCTCCCAAAGATCCATTAAAACATGGGCTTATCAGATATTTTATATCCGATCATTTATTCGTCGCGTTGTCCATCACATGTGTACGACCCTCTAGGTCTAATACCGAGATGGTCTTGAGTTGCACCTATCAGAACTCCTTCTGACTTAATAAATTATTATCCTTATAATAATTTACTCAACTCATCGACTATGGATGCACTAAGTCACTACGTCATAATCTTTAGGCGGTACAGGGGGATCTAATCCATTGGATATATCTACCCTTAGTTATCGTGTATCAATAGTCCATCATCTATCTAATATCCCAAAGATCGTACACTGGGTATGGTGCTGCCAAGCCCATTTGAAATCTATTCGAGTCTCACTCTAATCGGATTATCCTAGAAAATTTATTCTCTCTAAACTCTGAATCTCACGCTTATCAGATTCATCACGATTTGATCGACCTTGGCTAGAGATATGCCTAAGTGAGAGCACATGGGATATTTCTCTTATGATACCGAGAGTGGATGATCCTCTATCGACACTCAATTGCCTTCGTAAGATTGGTTACCACTCTCGATGACCAATTGTACTATATTTGAAACTTCCATACTATAAATTCGATATCAAAAAATGAAGTACTCAAACAAGACATCTTTAGTGTTTCAAGTATAAGGACCAGACATACAATTAAGACTATGGAATCATTGTCTCACTATAAGGTATTATTAACCAACATGCATTCTATAAGCAAATCATTCAATGAAATCATTCTCCAATGAACACTTGCATTATATCTTTAGTATCTCCACACAGGTAGCTATGAGACCAGCTGCCTCCATCATATAGAAGAATATATAACATACCGGTCTGTTTGGTTATCTTAATGTCCCTCTCAAATAATATATAACTGAGAACATTTAGCGATCTGTATTTATAGACACATTAGTCTTATTATCATGATCTCACTATGATCAAATTCTCGTTACATAGATCCAATGATATCACAATATATATTTATCATATAATATAAAGTAAAAAATATCATAATAATAATAAGTAAAAAGATTGTGCAACATATCACATGTGTCATCGTGATTAATTTACAAGACACATGTAACTAACACATTACATATATATAGAAGATGACTATTTGGGAATTATAAAAAGGGAGTACCATGTGAAAAAAAAACTAAAAGAGTTTTTTTTTTATAGACAATTACCATTGTTCTTATACTATTACAAATACATATTTGAATTATAATATGATATATCAAATATTTATTATTTTATTTGACTCATTTTTAGTGTCTTTGTTGTAGTGACCAAAATATTATAAAATTTTTGAGGGACAGTTTGAGCATTTTTCAAATTAAGGCAATGTTTGAGAAAACCAAAAGGGGTATCAATAAAAAAATGTAAATATTTTCTAAGAAATCTTTTTCAAACTAAGCGTCTTCCAATTAACTTAGCCTTTAGGTAACTTAAGAATCTAAAATTACTTGCCAATCATTATACATATTAAAAAAAAAACAGATAAATATAATCCAAAATGATAAGAAGGCAGCATGTAACTAATTGGTCTTGATATATCTCTATAAGTAAAAGAAATTCTTCTCTATTACAATCCTACTCTTAGAATAAAAAAGGGAAGAAATTGATTGTATCAGTGATAGAGTATAAGCTAACTGCGGTAGTTCATAGTATCACTATATTTGATTCATTTAATACAATGATCATAAGAAATATATGAAGTCAGTGAATCATTTCTCTTTTGGAAATTTAATTACTTGTAGAAAAAAAATTGTCAAAATAATTCAGCTCCAAAATCCAGCAAAAAACATAAGAACAGCAAAAGTTCCCTTCTATCTTCATCATTCATCCTCAACAATTCTGTTGATCATCCTTTCGAGTATCTTCAGATCCAGAAGATGTATAATTGGAGTTAGTACTCTTAGCCATTGCCTCTTCTGCTCTCACTTATTACATGTAATTCCAATTCAAGTTGTAATTATCTCGCATATAAACATCAACGAAAGTTGTATTAGATGCAATGGATCGATTTGCCTAACTTGTAGTAATCCCCATGACAACGAAGTGATAGACTCATGGAAGTATCATCTTTGTCTCCCTCTCTCTCTCTCTCTCTCTCTCTCTCTCTCTCTCTCACTCACGCACACACAGAAAGGCTTTTTTTTCTCTAGTTCACCATCCATAACCTAAAGATCAGGATCATGTCCGAGGTCTTGTCATTCTCATAAATTAGTTCCGCCTTATAATTCCTATTGCTTTGCAATTATAAGGAAGCGTTTGTACGCTCCACATGCATTCAATCGTCTGTACGTGGTGATCACATCTTTAGGTATGGTATGAGGCCAAGATCACATCTTGATTTGGTCCCAAGAAAAGGCGATGTTGATTGAGATAAGTCGAGATATCTGGTCAAGTCCAAGTCATGAGGTGAATGAAAACAACAAGCAAAACATGTGGCCGTGGTAGACAGCAATGTAATGTCTCAGATTAGCCTCACACACTCCTCAAAAGTCTTCTTCTCTTCTTTGTGTTGGTTTGTATGGTTGTTTACATTGGTTTATTGAATATTCTTTGTCTTCAATTAGCCCATGCATCTCTCCTATCCATCTCTTTCCTTCCTTCCTTTTCTCTCTTTTTCTCTCTACTTTCCCTTCTCATGTAGTTCTTCTCTCTCCCTCTCTCTCTCTCTCTCTGCGCCCTTCTTTCTGCCTATAATAGGAAACCCTTGCAAAGACTCAACAGCGGCCTCTCCTCTCTTCTTCCTCCTCTCCTACCATGGCAAATCCCTACACTAAGTTCTTTAAACTCTACAACCACTGCCCTTTCCTTTCCGATCCATCTTCCACACCGACTGCCACTCAATCCTACAGCTTCAGCCCACACTGTTACTCCAACTCATTCCCTAGGCAGCTCCCATCGTCTCCTCTTAAGGAAGCTCTCCCTCTCCTCAGCCTCTGCGCCACGAGGCACCAAGAGGAGGAGGAGGAAGAGGAGGAGGAGGGCACCTCGTGCGATGCCTCCATTGGAGGGGGGAAGAAGAAAGCTGTGCGTGTCGATGATGAAGCTGCAGATGAAGTGGACGCTGTGACTGTGGCTCTTCACATAGGCCTGCCGAGCCCTGGTGCAGTTGATCTGACACCGTCAAGGTTCGCCTCCACCTCGGAAGATAACAGAGAAAAGGAAGCAGAAGAAGTTGACGATGTCGTTACCTTAGGCTACGCTTCCGGTAATCATCCCCTGGGGAGGCTCAACAAAGGCCAGTACTGGATTCCCACACCTTCCCAGATCCTAATTGGACCGACCCAGTTCTCTTGCCCCGTCTGCTACAAGACTTTTAATAGATACAACAACATGCAGGTAATCCGTTTCTTCCCCTTTTTCTTGGGCTCCTTCACATGTCTGTTGCTTCTCATCTCAAGCCTTCAAGATGATCAATGTCTTGAAAGGTGGTGTTCTGCATGGTAAAGGTCTGGGGGAGCTATGTAGCACTTGTCTCATCTACTACTGCAGGCCACTGAGACGGATCCTGGGATTCATCCCAGGATCCCTTTTTATGTGATTGGACTTGACATAACGCTATGTTCCTCATACCTTGGTGGCTTTTGGAGCTGATGTATGTACATGAAGAAGCATCGGTATTCGTGCGAATTCTGATGGACCTCTTTCTCTCGAAAAAAGTAGTGAAATTTCTGAAAAGATTTGGCCTCTTCTCAGGGTGCCTCAGATGATCCGTGAAGTAACTCAGGTTCTTCAGCTCGCCCAGTCCCAGTAACTCGAGTACTCCATATGAAGCCTCCCACCCCTCTCTCTCTCTCTCTCTCTCTCTCTGTGAAACTCTGGAATTTCTTGTGATCCCTTACTTCTCACGATTTCGAGGGGAACTTTCTCCCAGAGTTTTTTGACTAACAGACCAACTCGCAAGATTTCATATCTTACAGCAGACCAGAAAGAGAGATGCAGTCTCGTATCAGTATTACTCTTGAATAGAATCTTTATGCCATGAAAGATAATTCTTCCTTGATGCATCAAAGGCTACATTGTATCAAGCATATCTCGAGTGTTAGTTACAAATGGCTTCGTTTTCTTATTCCTTGTCATTCTGGACATGATAACCTATTCTTTCTAAGGAGAATGTGACGAACAATTCTTGAGAACATCTGGAGATCTAATGGTTTTGATCTAACTCTTGCTCCATTGTGTTGTGACAATATGTAGATGCACATGTGGGGGCATGGATCGCAGTATAGGAAGGGACCAGAGTCGCTACGAGGCATCCAACCGACGGCAATGCTGAGGCTCCCATGCTACTGCTGCGCGCCTGGTTGCAGGAACAACATAGACCATCCAAGATCAAAGCCATTGAAGGACTTCAGGACCCTCCAAGCTCACTACAAAAGGAAGCATGGCATCAAACCCTTCATGTGCCGGAAGTGCGGCAAGGCCTTCGCGGTGAAAGGCGACTGGAGAACCCATGAGAAGAACTGTGGTAAACTATGGTACTGCATCTGTGGCTCCGACTTCAAGCACAAGAGATCGCTGAAGGACCACATCAAATCCTTTGGACAAGGGCATGCTGCTTATGGCATCAACTGGTTCGAGAATGAAGACGATCCATCATCAGAGATCGAACATGATTGCCATCAACCAAAAGAGCTAGAGAAGTTGACATGTTAATGAAGCTCGCTCGTGATGCTTTTTCATATCTTCTTTACTTGGTTCGTGATGTCCTAATACTTGATATGGTAATGAAGTCGATAAGAGTCTCGAGTTGCTACAATTTGAGGTACCTATGAACTATCTCATTTCTTTTCCTTGTTCTCACTAGCATGTGTGTATGTATGTATGTCCATCTGCTTTGCTTTTATTTCTTGTTCTGATTTAGTTTTCAGTCTTTTCCTGGTCACCCTCTTCTTGCCCTAAAACTCAATGCTCGAGGGAAACAAAGCAATCTGCTCAGGTGTTGATACCTTTCTGTTCCTGTCAAACACTGTAGATTCTGTTCATTTACCAATGTTTACCGCTCCATTATCTGTTCACCGTTCCTTCGGATTCTACAGTGTAAGCCCATCATCAGTAGTAAATGCTCTCTTTATCTTATGGATGTTCGTTTCTTCTTCTTCATGCGTTCTGTTAATACGACTCGAGTCTATTGTTCTCTTAAGATCCTTATGGATGTCTCTATCGCAATGCTCCACTTATAGTTGCCCTAGAGAGGTACAAGAGAAACTCCCATGCTTATTTACTTTCCATCAAGTCTTTCAAATGCAAGTACACACCAAATGCGAGTGAGATTTAGAAGTTAATCTTGTTGATAGATGAACTTCCAATTAATTCATATTATTTACCTCATCTATATGTCATCATGTCACGACTCAATCAAAGTTGAGGAAAACACTGACGTAATCAGATGTTGCCTTGTTGGAGAACATACATTAGTCTTTGATACAGACATGGTGAGTGCCTAAGTGTCACCCATTTTGGCAATAATTGACGTGCCAAAACAGTCCTATTTTTTTTTGGTGTATTTGTATGACATGGGTGTATTTGTGTGCCGAAGTGATAGATCAATCCGATTTAGTTCGAGATATGTGTCTTGACGAAGTGTGAGAGCCCCTCCAAAGATTGTTGGTGATGCTTCAAGGTACAAATTATTTTTGGTGAAAATGAATCCGAAGCATCGCTTCTCTCTTGAACAAGGCATGTTAGGTGCGTCTCCTGACAAGATATCTCGTACACCAAGTTAAGAAATCCTGAGATATATTAGAGATAACGACGAGAAATAATCTTACATTAGTCAGTGTGTTGATGTGCCCTTTTTATAGTAAAACTAGGAAAAAATATTTTCTTATTATAAAATATTTAGATAATATTTTCCATGAACTTGCTCCGTTATAATTTGTGACAGTCACATGTCAAGCATTATAGATGAATATTTCCCCTCTCACGTATAGCACATTGATTTCACCTTTCTTTTCTTCCTCAAGTTCTAGATTCCTTTCTCTCCATCTCGACCTTTCAGAAAACACTAGTCGCTTCCTTCCCTACTCTTCCTGCGTCAGGAAATGACATAAGCTTCGACAATACCGCCTGGAATCCGGAGACATTTCATGGATGTTTCAACCCACCTTACTACTTTATCTTTCATGTCATGCCTCCCAAAGCATAAGGCTCAGTTATCTGGAACCGATTCAGCTTTTGAGTGCATGTATGAGGATGCATTTTTTCCTTGGTATAGTGAGTGGATCTTTTAGAATGGTTAGCCTATCCACCTGCCTAATCCCCTCAGGAGAGGAAGACGGGAAGACGATGCAGTAGTGTGGTACGACAGTCGTACCACAGATATGGAATCACGGCCAGTGCTTTGTTGGTCACTGCGTTGGATGACTGATGGATATCTCTGTTGCAGTCTTGCAGGTATAAATAAATATATATATATATATATATATATATATATATGTACATATATTACATGCAAAGAGAGAGAGAGAGAGAGAGCAGTGAACCCGAGGCGTACTTCGAGAAGTCATATCAAGCCACAACGAGTCCATCGCCTGCGAGTACTACACTGTAGATGGAACTGAGCCCACAAGGTTGAGGTGGGCGCCACGCTTCCCTCGACTTGATCCTTACGCTTCATCCACCAGTCCTTTTCAATGGCCTGTCATAAAATTATTCTCTGCACCCCAATTTGGTCATCTTCTGAAGCCACTAATATGAAATGGATATATATACATATGTGACGCCATGATTACATGAATTGCGCATGCAAAAGGAGTAACAAGATGTTAAGTCATGTCTTGCACAACTAATATGAAACTAATTAGGTTGAGGTATTACGATAACTTTTTCTAACTCAGTTAACGTGTCTAGGTGTTCTCCTTGGGGAGACTTAATTAGGAAGTCGATCCAACAATGAGAGAGAGAGGGAAGGCAAATGGAAACAGTTGACAAGATGGACTGGGACATGGGGAGCTACAAGAGGACTGGCCACAGGAGACATGAGAATTTATTCTCTCGCCCTGTCTAGAAGTTGAGGTATTAAAACCCCAAGAGCTTTTCCCATCCCTCTCTGCGACAGGATCTCCATGGCTTGTTCATGCTACTGAAATCTACTGTGCTTAGCCTTGACAAGAAGACACTGGACACCGTCAGAAAGAACATATTTATTCCTTTTCCTGTTCACTTGCAGCACATGGAATTACGAGAGGACGAGGGACTCGAATGAAGCATGCTGCCAATTTTTCTCTCAGGCATCTATTGTCTTACTTGAATAGCTCATGATATAATCCATTTAAGGGAAACGAGAGAAAGAGGAGAGCTGAGTAGATATTGTATCATTTACTTATGGCTCAGGCATTATATGTTGGGTGTTTTTTTTTTTCTTCATATTTTCAGCGAGAAGAGAGGAGAATAATAAAAGGAATTATGAGTACTTCTACTTTATAATATTTTGAATTGATCCAAAAATATCTTTTTATATTAGCTAAAAGATAGAGTATAAGTTTTTTAAGTAATAAAAGAATTATCATATCTGAATAAACCTTCTCACCATCATCTATTTATTTTAATCTAAATTTTTATTTTATTTTATTTAATTCTAACTATTTGAATTAATCGGCCCCTTAATTCAAAATAGTTCTCACTTGAAGTTGTCTTTGAAAAAAAAAAAAAAAATTCATCAAAGCTTTTGTAATAAGCTCATCTTTCTCTAATGGTGTTACAAATTCCTTATACTTCTCTCAAACTCTAAAGCATAGTATGTTACAGCTACAAGTATAGCATATCAAATAATTTTGCTTAGAAAACTTCTAGTAGATCTCCACGAAAAATAAGATAGACCAACTAAAATTTATTGCAATAACAAGTCTACTATTGCAATAACGAAGAATCATATTCCACGGGCATACCAAACTCTACCTTAGGATTAGAAAAAATATTCAAATAGTTAGGATTAAAAAAAATAAAAGTTAGGATATGGTAGATTCTACCTTATGATGAAGAATTATATTGCACTGACGAAGAATCATATTCAAATAGTTAGGATTAGAAAAAATAAAAGTTAAAAATTTAGATTAAAATAAATAGATGAAAATGAAAAGATTTATTGAGATATGGTAGATTTTTTTCAATGTTTAAAAAATTTTATACTCTACCTTTTATCTAATATAAATATGTGCTCTTATATCAATCCAAAGCACCTTAGATTGTAAGTACTCATAGTTTCTTCTATTATTCTCTTCCCCTTCTCCTATGTAGAAAAGTCAACAAGTGTGATATGAGAGCAAAGTTCAAAGAAGATCAACACGAGTATATCGATTAAAAAAGAATAAAAGACTAATAGATCCTGAGAAAAAAATAAGATGACACGCATTGGAGTAAGTATTCATAATCAACTTACTCATATCTTTAAATGTGATAATTATTAATTTTGTATCGTTAAGATAAAAGTTTTATTTATTTTATAAGGATTATGAAATTTTGATAGAAGATGATTTTATTCAGTATGATTTACAAGATCCTAATATTACTAAAGATCAAATGAATAAAAATATATAAAAAGATGCTAGAGCCCTATGCTATAATAAGCAATAGATGAGTTCTTATTTTTTTGAATCATAATGCCATTAATGTCAATAGAAGCTTGAAAAATATTAAAAAGTATGTTTGGAGGTACAGACAAAATAAAATTTTCAAAGCTTCAAATTCTTTAGCATGAATTTAGAACTCTTATCATGAAAGATTTTGTATTTATCACTGATTTTTTCTCAAAAATCTCTTATATTATGAATTATATGAGATCTTATGTTAAAAACCTAAAAGATCAAATTGTAGTAGAAAATATTTTATGAAGTTTATTTCTAAATTTTGATAAAATTTCTACTACTATAGAAAAATCTAAAGATACAATTACATTATCTATTGATGAATTAAGAGGCTCACTTTTAGTTCATCAACAAAAAAGTGACTAGATCTTTATAAGAAACTTCAAAACGTACTCTTCAGATGAAGATAGATCGGACTAAAATAAAAATTCAGAAACCTGATCTTAAAGAAAAAAAATCAAAATGACAAAGATCGTGGCAAATCAAATGAAAGTCAAAGGAACTCTAACCAAAATGATAAAGATCGTGGTAAATCAAATGAGAGTCAAAGGAACTCTAATGAAGGTAACAAAGAAATCCGTTAATATTTTTGTTATAAAAAAACTGGACACTTAAAAAAGATTGCTAGTACAAAAATAAAAATCTAAATATTCCATCCTCCTTTCACCGTAAAAAATATGGCAATCTCGAAAAAGATTGTTAGAACATAACGCAAGCAAATTATCATGAGCAAAAACTAAAAAAAAGATGAATAACATTTTTTTTTATATAGCATCTAATGCAGAATGAATAAGATCTATTTTGTTTTTTGAGGATGCAATAATCATATGATAAGAGATAAAAGTTTATTTCAAACGCTTAATGATTCAATCATATCTATAGTGTATATAGGAAATAATAGTAAAATTCAAGTAGAAAGAAAAGAAACAATTACTATAAATACTAAATTTTATATAAAAATTATTAATGATGTAAAGTTTATTCTTGGTTTAAAATAAAATCTCATTAGTATAGGATAATTGATGAGAAAAATATATTCTACTATTTTTATAATAAAAAATTGATTTATGATAAATTTTTTTTAAAAAAATAATAAATTATTTGTCTTATTATTTTTGAACTTCTCTTTGCATGTATTCGCTACTACTGATGAATCGGCTTTATGACATAAAAAATAAAGTCATTTGAATTAGGATGGAATAAAATTA